TCACCGTCTCTTTTTCACAACATTTCGTAACACGAACGTTTTTTCAAGTATGTTGAGTCGAAGTTTACCCTGCACTGTTGAAGAATGCCAGCCTCTTCATAAGTCATTGTTAATAGTTGGAGGAGGAATAGGTGGAATGGCAACTGCTCTTTGTTTCGCTAAAGCCGGTATTCGAGTACATCTGATTGAGAAGCAACCAGAATTTGCTGAAGTTGGAGCTGGAATGCAGTTAGCACCGAACTGTAGCCGTTTGTTAGATCATTTAGGAGTTTTGAAAGAAGTACAAAAGCATGGCGTATTCCCCAAACAAATTGTTTGGATAGATGCTTTATCTGGGGAGAAACTATCAGGATTAGATCTCGGAGAAAAATTTGTTGAGAAGTTCGGTTATCCTTACATGGTTGTGCATCGAGGAGATCTTCTTCAAGCTTTGTATAAAAGTTGTCTTTCGAGTTCGTTGGTAACGATGGAAGCATCAAAACAAATTGTCCATATTGAAGAACAATCCTCGTCTGTTTTACTTTCGTGTGTCGATGGTACTCGATATGATTGCGATGTTGCCATTGGGGCTGATGGCCTTTGGTCGAGCACTCGTAAATTTGTCCATGATGATGGGGAACCATTGAGTGTAGGTTATGTTACATATCGAGGGACAGTACCCATTCAGCAAGTATCGGAAAAAGCTGGTCGAGAAAATGTTTTGTTTTGGATTGGCCCAGAAATGCATTTAGTTCAGTATCCCATACGTCGAGGAGAACTGTATAATCAGGCCGCTGTTTTTAAATCGAAACGTCTCCCAGATAAGACAGATCAATGGGGAACACCGGAAGAACTTCAGGAAAAATTTGGTGTCGGATGTGAGTCAGTCAAAAATGCTCTTCCACTTTTGGGAAAGAATTTTCGATGGCCAGTCTATGATCGAGAACCATTGAAAACATGGTCTCGAGGCAGATTAGTTTTACTTGGGGATGCTGCTCATCCAATGCTGCAATATGCAGCACAGGGTGCCGCTCAAGCCCTTGAAGATGCCGTGGCTCTAGTATCAGCCTATGTAAAACATGGAACAGCCGATATTCCATCTGTTTTTCAATCATACGAAACAGAACGAATTAGTCGTTCATCGAAAGTTGTTCAGCTCGCTCGAGAAATCGGCAAATTTGCTCATGTTGACGGTATTTTAAAACGTTTTCGAGATACTATGTTACGTCAACATGATTTTTTTGACTATGATTGTGTTAACTGGCTATATGCTGAAAATTAATTATACATGTCTAAGTTCAGTCTTATCTTTTTATCTATATATCTGAAGGCTATTGCTTCTAGTCACTTTTACTTTTACTCTTTGTAGTCAGCATGCTTCTTTTCATTTTTACCATTTATATTAGTAAACATTCTTTTACTCATGTATGTAATAAAGACGGAATAAACGAATATTCTCATACACTTGAGATTCAAATACAAGAAAAATTCACCAGGCATTTTGATAGCTAAAATAAGAACGGAGAGACACTGTTCGAGAAAAAACTACTTCCTAGAACAAAAAGAATTGTTTCGTTAGATGAAGCTAATAATTGGCGAACGGATGTATGTAACGGATGATTCGCGTTCGATTCTTTGTCTACAACTGGCTGTTCTCATTCCCTCAAATCATAAACTTCGTATAGCAGTAACAAGTTGTTTGATGATTTTCGTTCTTTCCCTAGAGATTTGTGTTGAGACCATAATATCAGCAATAAAGAAAAAGAAAATATTCGAACGGGAAGCAGAGATTTATTTTATTTTTATTTATTCGAGGAAGTAAGCGAGGAAGTGACAAGAGAGAAGAAGTGTGTCAAAGTCATATTTGACGGAATTGTACATATCTTGGATATATCAGGTTCTTTCTTCCGAGAATTGGCTG